CTCTTGCCCCAGTGCTGCAGCAGACTGTTTCCGCACTGCCTCAGGCTCAACCATGACAGCCTCTTGCCGCTTGTGCAGGGCTGGGAGGGCGCTGGGCTCCAAGCTGGAAGCCACCTCTGCAGAGGTGATCAGTTAATGTCGCTGCTATATTGATCTGGCACTGCAGCATGGGAGAGCAGACTTCACGAGTGGCTTCCCAGGCTCAAAAGGAGATAAATTATAAACACCAAAACTACATCTGGCTTCACTGCAGAGTGCTTAGAGAAAGGAGGATTTTCACTGAGCTGTATCTGTGCATAAACCTCCTGCAAGAGCAGCAGATCCATGGCCTGGATCCCCACCTTGGGGTGCTGAAGAGCAATACTGGCAATTCCCGTTGTCTTTATCAGTTTAATGGTTTGCTGAAACACAATCTTTGCTGCAGAACAAGGCCTTGCTTCTCTGCTCCATGACGCCTCATTTTCATCAACATCCTCCAGTATGACCAGCAAGGACAAGGCACTGGAGCTTGCTCTGCAGCAATGCAGAGGCAGATTCCACTGCTGGAGCAATGACTGCATCTTGCCAGGTGTTCTTTCACCAAAGGATCACCAGAAGGTTGGCCAACCTGCAGTAAAAACTACACAGCAACCCTGCGTGGTGGGGCAGAAGACAAAGCCTCAGCCCAGAGAAGACTGATTTTAAGAAACTGCAATGACGAGACACCTGTGACAGGCTCATAGCCTTGCACCACCCATGCAGCCATCCCATGGGTGCCCTGGACCCAACGTGCATGCCCTCAATATGGCCCCTTGCAATGGCAGATAGTTTGCCTGGCCACCACAGATTGACTCTCCCTGAGGACACATCTCCAGCCTCGCTGAGCTCTCAGCACACAAGTCCATGGCTGACCCAGGACAGGCAAGGCTGCTTAAAACATACACATGAACCAAAGAAGCTCTACACCAGAGTGCTGCAACTGAGCCAGCAAAGCTCAGTGTAAGACTGCACTGAACAGGAGGGTGATTTTTAAAATAAAAATAAATTTAAAATAAAGCTGTTTTCACTCCCTCCTGGATTCACTAATTTTCTCATGCCTCAAACTCACATGTACCACAAGACATACAGCCAACAGCACTTGTGTGTGACACGTCCTACAGGTCCCCCTCACATCTCCTGGACTCTTAGTTAATGATGGCCACAGAGGGGTTTGGGATGCAGCTTCTGTGCTTGCCAGGAGCTGACAGCAACACTGATCTTCCACCCCTCAGGGTCATTAGGCAGCACAGCTGATTTACAGTTATGGAGTGATTTAAATTGTATAGTACTTTCAGAGGTCCTCTCACCTCCTGTGATGGAGTAAGGCCTCACTACAAGAAAGACATGGAGGTGCTGGAGCAGGTCCAAAGAGCAGCAACGAAGCTGGTGAAGCATCTGGAGAACAAGTCTGATGAGGAGCGGCTCAGGGAACTGGGGTTGTTTAGTCCGCAGAAAAGGAGGATCAGGGGAGACCTGATTGCTGTCTACAATTACCTGCAAGGAGCTTGTAGCCAGGTGACTGTTGGTCTCTTCTCCCAAGTAACAAGTGATAGGACAAGAGGAAACAGCCTCAAGTTGTGCCCGGGGAGGTTTAGGTTGGATATTAGGAAAAATTGCTTTACCTAAAGGGTTATCAATCATTGGAACAGGCTGCCCAGGGAAGTGGTTGAGTCTGCATCCCTGGAGGGATTTAAAAGATGTGTAGATGTGGTGCTTAGGGACATGGTTTAGTGGTTGGACTTGGCAGTGCAAGGTTAATGGTTGGACTTGATGATAGTAAAAGTCTTTTCCAACCAAAATGATTCTATGATTCTATAAGCTGCCCAATGGTTTTCCACCCCAAGCCGCCTTAGAAGCTGCATGTATCCAGGCTGGCATCTCAATGACCTTTTGGGTTAGGTGCTATCAACTCATGCCAGTCTTGTAACCCTTCTTCTGCCATTCCCTCTGCTGCTTACATGTGTATGCTTCCATTCATTCCATCCAACTCCTTCTTACCTGTCCCTACAGGAGACACATGGGACACTGCCTGCTCATGAGCAGTGGTCTCCAGGCTCACTGCTTCTGCACAACCAAGTTAGAGGACAAAGAAGTGCTTGTGCCATTTCCCAAAGCATAAACATTTCAACAAGACCTCTGTAGCAAAGACCAAGCAACCAAACATTGCAGAGTACAGAGAACAGTCCAGAGAACCATGAACCACCTGTGAGAAGTTGGAAACGAGGGGACCTGCAGGCTGAGCAGGCACCTGGGGTCACCTGAGGGTGATCTTTTCCCCATGAGAGCCCCATGACACCTTGATGCATGGTGGTTTGCAGGAGACAAGTGACTTTCAGCCCATACATGAGCCAGTAGGTTTAGACTCCAGGTAAGTGTAGAGGGGGCAGTGCTAACTTCGGATCCCATGGCAGGGTGCAGCAGCCATGGCTTAGGCACACAACTGCCAGTGGATGGCCTGATCCTGCCATCAGGATCTGATCACTCTTGTACAGCAGGGACAGGTTCACCCATCTTCAACATGGGTCTGCTGGAGCATCACGTTGGTGCCCCCAAAGGCAGCAATACCCCAGCGTAAGCAGAAGGGAGAAGCCAGGTCACACCCCAGACTTGCGAAGACTCCCACAGACACATTTCTCCATCGTGCCCATGGCCTGGGGCAACACCACAAAGCCAACACCAAGCAGACACAACACCTCTCTAGAAAGGTCTTGGAAGGGAGATGCTCCACCGAGGGTGTTATGCGGATGATGGGAGAAGCTCTCGTCAAACAGTTCATGTAATCAAGCATCTGACTTTCCTTCTGGCAGATGGAGGATCCGAAGCCATAAAACATTGTGTTCTTTCACAAGAATTAACCCACATTTTCAGCCCATTACTGAGTAGTATGGCCAAGTTATACCTTCTCTAAATGAAATGCTTGCTTGCTTTGTACACTTTTTCTGGAGATGAGTAATCTCTATCTAGTACCATTTCATCAAGCTGAACTAGTTCACCTTTTAGAGCTCAGGCCATAGCTGATAACGGATGGACTCAATAAAAAAATGCTGTGGTCACACAACACAAGACACCAACCCAGTGCAAATTCACTCTTTTGGATCCACTTTCCTCTAAAACCTGGAGTTAACGACATGTTTGTGAGCACAGTGTCAGGTGCCACCTACCCTCCCACACATGGCGCAAGCAGAATATGGCAGCTCCGGTCAGCACAAAGTCTTGCACGCATGCTGGGGCCAAGGTGCCTGATCCAGATAAATTGGCACCACTGGCTGATCCAACAGAGACCTCTAGAGCCACAGCGCTGGTCTCTCCTGCCTCCATCCCAACATGCTCTGCAATCCTGGGATGTCCAAGACAATTGCATAGCTCTGATTTCAGAAAATCAGTAAAAGCATGTCCTACTTTCAGAAAGTACATGTTATTTAGGAATTCAAGCCCTGATTTCAAAAGCAGCTGGAGACCATGTATAACCTTGTCTTACGAGACTTCAGGTCATTAGCAGTCAAATGCTTCTGAGTTAACCCGAACTCTGTGAAGATGCTGCAGGCTATATGAGGGGGGCACAAAGCTCAGTCATCTCCCCTGTCCCCAGCTGCCCCTCAACATCCTTTCCCTTGGCACTCCCCTGGCACTTTGCGCTGCCTTCCCAGGCTGTGCCTGCCTGCCTGCTGTTTCCCCATGGAAATCTTCTTTTGGCACTTTCTGCCACGGCCCCATTGACTGTGCTCTCTCTGTTGGTGTTCTCAAAGTCTTCCCACCAGCGCCCATCACAGAGATGTCGTGACCTGCCCTCGCTTTCCAGCTGCCTCAGGCCAGGACCCGAGCAGCACCCAGCAGGGACGTCTGCAGCAATCAGACCTTCCCACTGCCATCAGCTGCTCCTGAGACAGAAAAGCCTCTCTACAAGACACTCTAACACTTCTTTCATCAAGTATTTCTAACCTATTTCTTGACTTTGCGGGGAGGGAGGGGAGTTACTCAGAATTGTAGCATAATTCAGGCTGGAAGGGACTTCAGGAGGTCATGCAACCCAACCTCCAGCTCAAAGCAGGGTCAGTGACTTCCAGTTTCTAGTGAGTCCTATGGACAAGCCCCATGTCCCTTAACCTCCATCTCTTGTAGAGTAAACATATTCCACCCCGTCTTGGCTGCAGACAGAAGTGCGAGCAGCACGACTGTTCATCACAACTGTGCATAGCGCAGCCTCGGGACCACCCGGGCAGAGGAGAGGGAGGAGCACCCCATCTCCACCTCTACCCCTGGAAAACCCTGCTAAGAAGCCCACCAAAAGAAGGTGCTAGTTATGGGTGGTTTCATGGGAACAAGAGATAGGGTTGTATCAGCCCTTCAAAAGTCTAATATTTCCTGGGCTGCGAAGCCATATCGATGCCCAGTGGAGGGGCAACCACAGGCCCAACAGGGAAGAACATTTCCAGCAGGCTGCAGGCCTGCACAGTACTCTCTGAAAGATCACCCATCTTCTCAGCTTAAGCAAAATTTTAGATGAGTTACCCAGCTGCATCAGTAACCCTTGGTCTCATTTACGAGCTGCTCAAGCATCCTTCCAGGAACTGCAAAAACACAGAGACTTCAGGTTTCTGAACACATTGCAGGCAAACGTTCTCTCCTCAAAGCTGGTCCTTCAGAGGGTATTTTTGCTCTAGTTGAAACCACCTTTAGTGAGATGCTTAACATGAATGTGCAGAAACACACCCACCGTATGTCCACGCAGACACCCAGGCTTGCACACAAGGACAAAGCTGACACACGCCCCACACCTCCCTCTGCACGTACTTATGTCACGGGCCTTTCAGGCTGGCTTTTTCACTGATCCATTTGGAAATGCATTGCTTTTCCTGGTATTTGCAGATCAGAACTTGATTGCACGAAAGCCAAGCACAGCCCTCCTCTCCCAACACCTCCTGGGATCTCTCAGCTGCCTCCACAGCTTCCCATCCTCCCCTTCCCGGAGGGCAGAGACTCACCTGAGTTTTCCTTATCCGCAGGTCAGCAGATGACCTGTTTAGTCCTTCCTCTTGTTCAATACTCTGCTCAATACCTGGTCAGGGTAGAAGGACACACATTATTTTGTGCTGTTTAGAGAAGTAAAAGGCATTGTTTGGCAAAGGGACTGTAAAAGACTGAAGCCTGCAAACAGAGGAACATCTGGAACCGGGCAGTCCCCAGCTCCTGACTCCAGCCTGCGATTTGGCCTGGATGGGCAGCAAAGCCTCGTTTCATTACTGCGAAGCACTCGGTGCCTAGCCACCAGCCGAGAACTGGTGCTGTCGAGGGCAGCACCTGTCACCTCCAGGCTGGTAGTCAGGATTTCAGTACAAAATTGATGTAATGCTGAGGTCTGGTTGCCGCGCTTTCCGGTATTCAAACAAAATGGAGTGCTGTTCTCCCCCGCTAGGCGGGAGGAGGAAACCCAGAGTTAAAATGTCTCTGCAAAATACCAAAGCTCAAGACTTCTCCAGGGACCCTAAAAATAGTCGGTCTGCCAGCTGCTCGGCCTCACACAGGGAGGACCCACCAGGCTGGCGAGAACACGCTTCATCTTGCTGAACGTTCCTCTGCAGCAAAGCCAAGATTTGCCCTTTTAATTATACCTGGTAGCACAACTAAGTAAGATGAATTTGTCGCTTGCCCAAAGGCCATAAATCGCAGCAGGGAGGAGTGCTGCCCTGCTCAGCATCCCACTGCGGTTTGGGCAGGGAGAGGGCACGGGGTTGCAGGGCAGGGCACAGAGCAAGGCAGTGCAAATCTGCTCCTCAAGGCCAGCTTGGGACATGCTAATTTAAAAATATAAAATCAGGGACTTAAAAAGCCTGAAAGAAAGCTCCCATCAGCAGGCTGGCCCTGTGTGCAGAGATACATCTCCACGTAGACCTCCAGGTGTCAGCTGGTAGCATCCCTTGTGTTTGGCTGAAGACCCCATTGCCAATGCAGATGTCCCCCAGCTCTCTGACCCCAGCTGTCCCCAGCACCTTCAACTCTGGAGCAGGTCCCACGGGCCCAGCATGGGGCAGGTTCCTCCTACAGCAGGGGATCCCCATTCCCTGGAGCTGCCCAGTGGCTCCCCATCACCATCTAGACCAGCAGAGCAGAGCGCAGGAAACCACCACCACCATGGTGGGCATCTGTGTTTCTGCTGCGTGCTGATTAGCATGGGTGGCCCCACAGTACCACCCTGCAGAGAACAGCAGTGCCGTAAGGAAGACTGTGGGCCTGGGGAACCCTTCGCAGTGCTGCAGAGGGTGTCCAACAGCACAGCATGCTCCAGCAAAGTGCTGGAGAACATCAGCACAAATTCTGCACTCCCTCCTATTCTCTCCTGGAACAAGCGTCTGTATCTAGAGCTTATCCAAAAGGTCCCATCCCACACAGCCAGACGGCCATGGCACTTTTCCTGTGCACTCCCCTGCCTGCGAGCGCACTGGCTGCTGCCTGCCCGGCATATTTCGTCAGCAACTGGTCTTCCTCCACACTTGTCATAAACTGTTCCCTGTTCCCAAGGAACAGTATTGGCAAACATTGTGCATTTATGATAATTAATAAAATCACATTTTCCCAAGAAGCTGGTAATTAGAATTAGCCACTGCATGAGCAATGTCTGTCCTAAAGAAGTCAATTCGTTGTCAGCAGATGGTGTTTTTCATCAGTCTTGACTGTTTTCTTTCATTGATCATGCTGGCCACGAGGCGATTTGGGACAAAGCACAAGGACTAATCATCTCTTGCTCCAGGTAAATGCGGTATCAGTGAGCCTTTTCTGGAAGAAGGAAACAAGAATCGGAGCCTGTCCCGCAATCTTCAGGCTCTCAAAACCCCTTAAAAAACACAGAACAAAACACCTATGGGAAAGGATTTTTGTTCTGCACAGGTTAAACCCTGTCCTCACCTGGACACCAGGGAACCCCAGTATGGCCAGGGGGGCTCTGGTCCATGGGGAGGGATCCCCTGGTCTATGAAACGGGCAAGCTGGCCCCTAGCTCTCCTTCCTGGGTCTGGCTGAGATCGCGTGTCAGGAGCACAGAGGGCAGCAAGGGGACAATGGAGGTACAAGTCTCCTTCTGGCATACACATGGGACGTGAACATGCCAGTGGTGATGAACCTAACAAATGGCTCCAGCCATATCTGAGTCCTCCCATGAAACCCTGGGATTAGGGAGAATGCTGCTGCCATTGGGGAAGCACCAGCTCCTCTCTCACCCTTCAGACATGGCTAGGTCTCCTGCAATGATCTTAACCAAATCCCATACTGATGTCCAACACCACTGCAGGCAAATCTGAGCCGTGCTGTGGTGACCTGTCTCCTGCCTCAAGAGGGTGCCATCCTCACCGACCCCCTAAATCCCCTGGGGTCCAATCTTGGGCTTCTGGGCTTCTCCGAGTGCTCCAGTCCAACCCTGGCCATCGGCAGGCTGACAGTCGTGTTGTTCTCACCCCTGCTTGTCAAAGTGATTGACTCTTCTGATGGTGGAAACGAACAGTCACATTGGCCCCAAGGTGGAGGCATGCCAAGACATCAGGGCATGCTGATGAGACAGGATAACCATCCTTGAGCCCGACGGCCCCCTTCTTCCCACCAACTGCCCCAGAGAGCCCACGTCCAGGGGCCAAGATAGCCGGGACGAGCAGAATACAACACCGCCTTGGGCAGAGCCACCAGCGATGCAGTCCACACTGGGGATGGAAAAGCAAGATCAGCCCAGCAGAAGCAGGATGGGGGCAGCGAGAAGCACAAGCCCCATGGCAGCACGCCCCATGCCAGCACACTGCCAGAAACCTGGCAGCACCACCTGGCCCCGGCCAGAGGTGCATGGGGAAGAGGGACTATCGCCCTCCAGATGGGTCCCCCCAGTGCTGCGCCTGCCTAGGCTGCCCATGGCAACCTGGTTCACTGGGGAAGAGCCACCTCTTCTTGGAGGCTTGCAAATCCCACAGCACCCCTCACCTCTTCAACCACTCAGTCCTGGCAACCCAAGCTTTGGCTATGCCACAGGTTTGCTCAGAGCCAGGGCTCACCAGGAGAGCCCAATGTCTGCCCACCAGGCCTTCATGGCACCGTTCCTTCACCTCTAACCTGGGACTGGGGCATAAGGGGGCAAATTCACAAAGGGCAAATAAAAGCAGCTAGAGGATCCAAGGGGAGGAAAGGTGACGCCCAACCCCAGATGATCCTTGCAAAGCAGTGGCAGATGCCACTTCTGGCTGCCCCTTCCCTCAGGTCTGTGACCCACCCCCAGCACCAGCTCAGGTTGCCAGAAGACATGCAGACCGGGCTATGCGTCTGCAACCTTCCCTTCCCTACCTAGAGCAAACCACCCCAAAACTGTCTTGACCTGAGCCACACACCAGCTGCTGCTGGCACAGCGCTGCGATGACAGCCAGGGCCCCACAGCATTTCTGCTTGTGGGGGGCGAGTAGGATGTGCTGAGCAGGAGGCGCAGGGAGCAGGACCCAGGGCAGCAAGGTGCCCTGCCCACTGCATCCCCAGCCCAGGACAGGACCCACGGTGGCTGAGGGCAGGAGCGCAGAGGGCAGAGCCCCACAGCAGCATCACAGGCAAATACTCACTCTTTAGCTTGGAGCGCACTTTGTTCGCTGTCTTCTTTATGTCAGACATCAGCTCTTCCAGCTCCTCCTTTGTTTCTGGGAAGAAAGAAAAGAACAAACACGGCTGTGTTGGACACACTGCTAAAACCCGCTACCAAGCCCCACGGTGTGTGGAGACCAGACCTGCGAGCACTCCCACCTCCAGACTGGGAGCACTCCCACCCCGTGCACCCCATTGGACTCTCCTCACAGTTTTTGAGCCTGGAAATGACCCTGCTGCTGGTCGGGCAAGCAGGGAGCCAGGGAGCCGTACTGGGGTGCCCCTGCCTGCACAGCCCTAACCTGCTCTGTACCCAGCGCTCTGCAGAAAGTGGGAGGGAAGGGAGACACAACCCACAGTGCTGGTTCCTGTAGTGGAGAGAAAACCACTGCTGGACACCAAAAGCCTTCTGCTCACCAAGGGATGATCTTGCCAAGCCCCTGCCACGCTGGCCAGCCCTCCCCAGGGTGTTACAAAAGGTCACGTCTTCCACTTGCACCTCCTGACTAACAGCCAGTGTGTGTGTGCCTTCGCTCCCCAGGCTGAATTTACTGCTTTTGGCAAAAAAGCAGGGGCTGAAGTGGTCAGAAACCTCCCTCAGTCCCACAGCCCATGTCTCAGAAATGACTCTGAGCAGCGCAGCACTGGCAGGAGGCTGTAAAGCAATTCACACATTTCAACAGGCAGGGGCACAGGATCTGCAAATAAAACCAAGGACGAGCAAAGCCCCTTCTTCTCTGTGCCCACAGAAATCCCATCCGCGCCTGCACGATCTGCGTGCAGCTCCCGCTGGGAGAAGAGCCCTGTGGAGCATGGAGCTCATCGGTGAGTCTCAGCATCTCCCCAGGGCTGCCTCTCCACGACTGCAAGGGCTTTCACAGGAGTCTCCCAGGCTGCCAGGACTACTGACTCGGCAGAGAGAGGAGGAAACTACAGCATATGCCGCACTCAAGAGAAGCAAATCAGCTGGGGCAGTTCTGAGCCCTGCCTGACCGATGGGATCTCAACGATGCTATCTGCCCTCACTCCCGTGCACAAACACCAGTAATCGGCTCTGAGCTCACCACCACTAACAGTGCAATCGTTGCAGCATCTTGAGGCACTTGTGTCTTGTAGAACTTTTCTCTGCACTGCAGCAGCATCTCCAAGTCACAAGCCTTGCTCAACAAACCCAGATTGGAGCAAAGCTCCTTGATCAGCCCTGCAGAGAAGGACTGGGGGATACAGGTGGGTGACAAATGGGACATCAGCCGGCAAGGTGCACTTGCAGCCCAGAAAGCCAAGCGTCTCCTGGGCTGCATCACCAGCAGTGTGACCAGCAGGTCAAGGGAGGGGATGCTCCCCCTCTGCTCCGCTCTCCTGAGACCCCCCTGGAGCACTGCACCCAGCTCTGGGGGCCCCAGCACAAGGCAACGCTTTTAAACCAAACGAGGCTGGGGTTAGGTTGGACATCGGGAAGAAATGTTGTACCATGAGGGGGGTAAGGCCCTGGCACAGGTTGCCCAGAGAAGCTGTGGCTGCCCCTGGCTCCCTGGCAGTGGTCAAGGCCAGGTTGGATGGGGCTTTGGACAACCTGGGCTGGGGGAAGATGTCCCTGCCCATGGCCTCTCAGGGGTTGGACCGGATGATCTTTGGAGGTCCCTTCCAGCCCAAACCACTCTGTGAGTCTATGATCTCAACCAGGTTCCTCTCCCAGAAACCAGAGTGTCCGAAGAAGCCAAGACATGCAGGTGAGCCTCACCACCCTGTGCTTCAGAATCTGCTGGACACCGCCCCCTGATCACAGCAGCAGGGCTGGAGCAGGGTGCACAGCACCCTTGTCCAGCTCACAGGTACCCAACTCTGCCTGTGCAGCCCTTCATGCTGCACACCTGCACAGGTCGGGTGGTATGAAACGCCCTGTGCTCACCCATGGGCTCGTCGGCTGGCTGGCCAGGGACGTAACCCTGCCCCAAACGTGGGATCAGCCAGCCCCAAAACTCAGCAGTGAGACCAGCACGTTGCTATATCTGAAGATCCAGATACTAAAGAAAGTGCAAACCACCTGCCATTCAAATATGATTTCTTGGAAATGCTGCCACCCTAATGCTCCCTCTTGATTTTGATGAGATCAAGACTTACTTAATTAAATAAAACTTTGTTTAATAGACTCTAGGCACATTAACTGAGTCATTTCAATGGCTGTGGTAGCTCTGGTGCTGTACGCTCCCAGCTGGCAGTCACAGGCATAATTAGAAAATCATGATGATGGGAATGTGCTGGGGGAAGGTCACATCATATCGATGGCTGTACACATTTCTGACTCAGAGCTAAGAGCTTCAGGACTATTGGGAAAAGGAGAAAATGAACACGTCTGCGAATACCTTCACCCCAGGCTCCAGGTATTTCTGAGCAAGCCAACACAGTGGCCTCACCGGGGGAAATGGTACGATCATGCATTTGCTAGAGAATAAGCACAAATGCAGGGAAAGGAAGAGGACATTTTCAGTTTGAGTTCTCATTTAAGTGACTAATTATTTATTTTTTCCCCATTCTTGAAAGAACTTGTATTTAATAAAGAAACAAACCAGCCTGGGCTGAGGGACTCCCTGCACCCGGACAGGCTGGGCCAGCTGGCGGGGAAGCAGACAAAGACCTGGGAATGCCGGGGGACAACGGGCTGTCACGAATACGGCGACGGGACGAGAGCTGGGCTTGTTCACTGGGAAAGCAAAGGGGGTTCCTACTGCTGCCTACGACCACCCAGCAGGAGGGTGGAGAGGAGCTGGAGCCAGACTTCTTGCTGGTCCTTGGAGGTGCACGGGGACAGGACAAGCAGTGATGAACCAAGCTGGGAAACGCAAAATTCAAATTAGGAAAAAAAACTGTCATCATGAAGGCGGTCAAACACTGGACCCAGACAGGCAGTGGGATGTCCATCCTTAAGGATATTCAGCATGTGGCTGGGTGAAGGCCTGAGCAACCTGATCTAATGGACCTGCTGGAGGGTACTGGACCAGGGACCTCCAAGGTCCCTTCCCACCTTTGATCCTATGAAACAGTTTCATGCAACTTGCTGCTACGTACTTTCCCTTCTCCCTGTTAGTTTGGGCTGAGGGATGTGCTGTAGTGATGCTGTCACCGAGGATGCAGATGTGAGTGCAGGTGAGCATCCTGCCCAGCTGGCTGCTCCGGAAGGGGACAGGACCACACAGATGAGTGGAGGGACATGGGACAGGGGGCTGGGCTGCCTTCCCTCAAAATATTTCCAACTGAGCAGCAGGGAGAAAACACTCCTTCTGGCTGGCTTTGTGTCACAGGATGTGTGAGGATTACTTGGCGACCTGGCAGGCACAGGCTTCCCAGACAATTATTTTCACATCCATGGCGTCTGTTTAAGTGACTCACTCAAATCTATTTAACCATTCACGGCGAATAACATTCAGCAACAGGAAGCTGAAGTACCACAACATCACCGCCGCTACGGCCGGAGTCACCCCAGTGAGCAGAGCGGCACTGAGGGGCAAGACGTGATGTTTAAGAGGATGGGCCAGGCTCCTGCATCCCACAGCCGACCCGGAACGTCCGCTTAACTGGTAGCGAGCACAGCGGGCAGCAGGGATGCCCCCATGGCCACCGGCCATGTCCCCAGTCCCTGCTGGAGGGGAGAGGAGGCTTTGGTCTGGGGTCCAGCCTTATGCCCCTGAGAAGCTCCAGGGCCTGCGTGACCTGCCCTGGAGGGGACCCCAGGCAGCACAGGGGAGGCAGGGGTGCAGGCAGGAGTGCAGGCAGGGGTACAGGCAGCAGTGGGAGCTCTTTCTCCTGCAGAGCAGCACTCCCTCAAAGGGGCCCGGGCCCGGCAGAGGGCGAACACCCAGCCCAGGCTGGCAATGCCACCCAGCCGCAGGACAGCCTCAGCGGCCTGGGGAAGAGGAGAAACCGATTCCCTCGTGCTGCCCTTCCCTGCAGCTCAGTGAGCTCCCGAAAGCATCCCCCACCCCTCAGGGAAGGGGACGAACAACACAAGGAACCGGCGCCCAGAGCTGCCACACAGGATGCTCCTCGGGGCCGGGGGGGACTCCTGGCTACAGCCCAACACTCAGCATTGACCTTCACCATCATCAATAAAGGAGGAGGGGAGAAGCCTCCCAAGTGCCCAGCAGTGAGCAGGATGGCAGCAGCAGGCACCAGACCTCCACCCGTCACAGTTCACTGCAGGGGACTGACACCCGCCCGCTGCAGCACGCCTGAGCGTCACCATGACAGTGACTTCGCACGCACAGTATGGTTCTCAGCCATTGAAGCTTCCTCACCCACTCAGTATTCAGATTAATAAACCTTCACCTCTTTGCAACCTTCAATTCTTTACTGACAGCGACCAACCAACATAATCAAGAAAAGTACAATTATTTCAAACTAATTCATAACTGAGTTACCTGACAAAGCTGGGAAGAAGGATCTTTTTGGCAAAGAGTTAGCTCTTTCAGTAAAAAAATAAAGAAGATCCTAACCACAGTTCCTCCAAGGAAATTTAAAAAAATAAACCTTTATTGTCTTAAAACTTTTCTTCTGTCTCTCGCAGGTTACCACTGTTTATCTTGGCACTTACATTTACAAAATGTAGGGTATTTTTAAAGGTCAATGCAAAGAGGAAGCACAGACCTGGCAGCCACATGAGCTATCTGGTCTCTGGAAACAAACCGTAAGGAATCCTTCCCAGGGATCTACAGAGTTGGTTGAAGTGTTCTCCATAGTGTTTCAAGGCCTTGAAGTAACAAAAATGAAACCTGTTTTAAAAACCACCGGGGAGGAGATGGGCTAGAAAGGCTGTTCCAGCCCCAAGCTGGGAACTACTGACCAGTCAGTGTCACCTCCACGCCCAGTAAGATCACGGAGCAGATCCTCCTGGAAGACACATTGAAACATATGGATGACAGGGAGGTAATGGATGACCACCAAAATGGCTTCACCAAGGGCAAATCATGCCTAAGCTGGTGGTCATCTACGATGGAGTGACTTCATCAGTGGACAAGGGAAGATCTACAGATGTCATCTACCTGGACTTCTGTAA